ATGAATAAATTTAATATTATAATGTATGTTTTGATTCAAAGTTTTATTTTATCCAAGTTTTAATTCTTTTATTTCAAAATATACCTTTAAAAAGTACTTAAAACTTCAAATGTATTGTCACGTGACCAATGAGGTATGAAAATTCTGTGCTTTGGCTTTCTGTATCTTCAATAATACAATGGTAGTTGACTAGAGGTATGTCTTGACAATAAGATGCTTACATAACTTTTTGACTTGTACATTTCAAAGTTTTCTGAATGAATATTTAAAACAAATAATAAATTTTTTTCAGCCCCTGACAAGTGCCACTTCAACTTTCAACAGATTTGTTTGAGCTCTATAACCTACATGTACATTTTACATACACATGTGTATAGCCATTGGAAAGATATCATTTTACACTATAATCTAACAATGGTTATTTTGAAATTGGTGTGCTGTTGTCCTAGCAGGATCAGGATATATGTAACTGACTGTAATATTCTTGGCTGCTTCATCAACTATAACACTTACAGTTGTATCTTACATAAATATGTTATAGTTAGAGATACAGTTTAAATTGTATTAAGGTCTTACACTTGTATTTTAGTTAATTACTTTGTATCCATACTCAAGGCTTATGATATTATGCTCTGAATGAAATTTTCGCTGAATGGTTGCTTGTCTCCCAAAAAACTAATATGTCATGAGGGCACCATTGACTTGTGTTGTGATGAATAATAAGTGGTAAAGGACAAGAAAAGAAAAGAAAATATTAAAAATCAACTGTATGTGAAAAGGAAAAGACCTGAAATATTTAACAAAAGAAAAATATTTAAAGATATTTTACAAAAAATTAAAAGATAAATATTTTTTCTATTTCCTAATTTTAATTATTTCATTGCATTGTATGGTGATGATAATAGCCACAGTTAGTGATATGGTAGAGAAAATAAAATATAAACATTTCCCTTAAAAAACTTTTGATATCCATTTAGGCACTTCTAGAGGTTATGCAAATAAAATATGAAAACTATAAGATGAAGAAAAGTAATTTTATACATAAAATAAAAATCACCTTGCACTCAATTTGTTAATAGTTTGAATGCAAGTAACTACAATAGAAAAATAACATCCCTTTAGTAAAAACAATTATAATAACATCATTCTTTGTGTACAAGATACTTATGATCTTTACCAAATCTTACCAGTATTTGAGAAGATACATTAAGAAATCTCAGAGCTACTGCATGTATTGTTGTACAAGTGAAATACATGACTCAAGTCTGCAAATTGTACACAGAATTTTATTTTTTAAGTGTTTCTAAAGAGTTTGTATTCATTTTAAATAGAACTTTGGTGATTTGATGTTCCATCTGGTCTGTCAGTAAGACATTTCATCATAGAATCAAATTCAGCTGAAAGCTACACTTTCAAAAAAAGTAATGTCTTTCACTGATATTTTTCCAGTGTCTTCCTAAAGGTTAAAAATTTCTGGCCAAAGTAAGAGTTCTTTTCACCAGTTTTTGTAAAACTTGCAACTATAGAGTTTTCTATTGCTGATCAAAAACTTGATAAAATATTTACTGAAACACTCATCAACCTGTATCTTTGCATCAAGTCCTTCCAGTTGTATATTCCAGAGTTGGAACAAATTGTATGCAGGTTTACTTCTGTTGAAGAAGGCCAAACATGATTCACCATATGCACTGTTTATTTTTTGAGAATAATATAACTGTGGTTGGTAGAGTTAGTCCCGATGTGATAATGATGCTGCAGAATTTTTCAGAAAAATATCTCGTTTATTATAGTTGCAGGAAAATTGTATCTTTTGTTTGCAAGATTTCTTTGCTGTGGTAAGTCCTTTGGTGTTTGTATCTTCAGTGTCAACAGGGAAATTGATATATCTGTGGGGTATTAATGACTGTTTAATCATGTACCTTTCCACAGTCACTTAGTCTAGGTCAGGATATATTTTAGTTTCAACTTTATCAAGGTTAACTAGATATGTATGGCACAGTAATCTTTATGCTTAGGTTAGGTATTTGTTCTTGAGTTAGTTCTCATTTGTTCATATATTTATAAGCCAGACTTCATACTTCATCTAGCTGTGTAAGATACATATGAGAAAAAAAATCTTCTACTCTGTCTGAGCAATAAATTTTGTACTGCAGATTTTTTACCTGTTATCTTCAGCTTCTTTTTTTTATCATGTAGTATATAATCTGTAACTAGCTCTCACCAAGACATGACAAATTTCTTTAATCAACTAATAGTTAAAAAATACCAAATGAATTTTGTCCAAAACTGTAAATAAAGTTTTCAGTTTTATACTTTCATCTATATGAAAAGCTTAATTATGATTCAATTGTTACTTAAAAAACTTGTAAAATTTCTAGAAAAACAGTTTTTACAATGTGACCATTAGAATAGAATGTTAATGACCAAGAGGTATTTTTAATAGAGAATTGGACATAAGTAATACATATAGGCAGATACCACTAATCTACATCATACATGTGATGTAGTGTGTTTTGTTTGGTAAGTGTTAGAATTGCAAATGAGAAAGGGAATTTGAATGTGAATATTTGTAAGAATTTGCAACTCTCTGTAGAGATATTAGCTGTAGTAAAGGAAGCAGTTGAAGGAATCATAATTTTAAAATGTTTGTAGAATATTGCGATAAAGGTTTGGTCTCCTTAGTATCGCAAGTATTTTAGTTTGTTGGAGATAAATTTATATGCAAATGATTCCGAGAGTAGTCTAAAAGACACAAATTAGACACTTTAGTTATCATTCATGTGTCACATGGGAAGTAGTAGTAGTAATATTTGATCCAAATGTTCTAAATGGTTTATTGTGAAGTGTTTAACCTTAATAAGTTAATTTCTACATAGTTTTATGAAATATTTTGTCCTTGGTATTTATTTCTCAACTAGATATGGGTATAGAATGAAATAATATAAGAAAAGCAAGTATAAAATAGATATATAATAAAATTATCATTCAGAGACAACATTGTTAAGAAAATAGTTTAGTACAGTAATATTCATTATATATTTATACATTGACAATTGACATATTGCCCCTATCTCTGTCTATTTTAAAACAATTATAACTGTTAGAAAGTGTAAAATACAATCTATACAGAAGACTAAATGGTACTGTTCTTTGTAAACTAGTATATACGTTTTACCACTTGTTACTAAATGTTTATTTGTCCTAAATGTCATCAAATGAATCAGCTGGCAATTGGTCTTACATTGATTAAATTCAGTTAATCTGAACCTCTGCTAGCATACTATGGGCTAGTAATAAATATCTCAGTTTTCTACTCAATGAAAGAAACAAGAATACCAGTATCAGTGACTGCCCCTTGTTTGGGTGAGTGATCATTCTGCAGAATCATCAGATGAAAATCATCAAAATATCAAGAAGAAAAATAGCTTGTACATTTTCCAGTGTTATGCATAAATGTGGGACAAATGAACAGATAAAGTACACTTAGAACACAATTCTACAAAAGAAGCTTCACACAAGAATTGTGTATTATTACATATAGAAGTTAAATAAACTGCTTGTTACAACCTGTTTGATTTTTTGGTAAGTCAAACTTTAAAGTGGTTATTGAAATGCAAGAAGTCATCTTACTATACAGATGGTCCATTATGTCTGCATCTGTATTATCATCCATCACTAAAAAGTTGGGTGGCTTGATTATTGGAATGTTTGTATGGTAACTGGAAACTGTCCAACAGTATACATGAACTATTTTGTTTGAGGACTTTTGCCCGAGAATTATATTATAAAGTTGGCTGGCTCGATTACTTTAATTTTTTTGTATGGTGACTTGAAGCTACCCAATAGTGTACAAGGGCTATTTTATTTTAGGATTTTTGCATGAAAATGGTAATAAAAAAAAAAAGCCTGAAATAATGCACTTTTTTCATTTTTCATAGATATTTGATTTCTATCATTCACAGTTGACTGACTCAATTACTGTAATGTCTGATTATTTATATGGTAACTAGAAACTTTCTAATGGTATAAATTGGCTATGTTGTTTTATGATTTTTTCCCAAGAAAGAAGGTTAAAAAACACCCTCAAATATTGCACATTTCCACATTTTTATACATTTTTGGCTTCCATCACCATAGTTGGCTAGCTTAGTTACCATAATTTTTTGTATGGTAAGTTGAAATTACCTGACATTATACGTGGGCTATTTTGTTTAAGTATTTTTTCCCAAAAAAGATGGGTAAAAAGACCCTGAAATAATGCACATTTCCATTTTTTCTTTTTATAGACTTTTGGTTTTGAGTTAAAAACACAAGTACTTAATCATTTAAATGATTCAGTTATTACCTTCCACAAAGCAATGTATGTAATTAGTATATCTTGAAGTTATTAGGGATTTAATAACAAAAGAAAGAAGGAGACATTATCTAATTGTCCTTTATACAGTTTTTGATTCCTTAATGGATACTCTCAGCAGGATCACTTTTTAATTATTCCTACATAAATCACATTGTATCACTTATAATTTATCTTAAGCCTAATTCACAATCATGTAGAAGATAATGCATCTTATTTTGAAAAATTTTGCCACTTTAGAACACATACTTTCTCCTTGGTTGTGATGTCACACTTTTGTTTCCAGAAGATATTAATAGGCCATCATTAGTGATTATCTGTTGTTTTGTTTGAAAAAACAATTATAATATTGTATCATTTGATAAAACTATGGATGAGTTTATGAAAAAAATGAATAAACTTGACCTAATATTAGTCCAAAACAGGAAATTTCTAGCAACAATCTAGCAACAAGGTTTTATTAATTTTTGGTATACTTTTAGTTTAATATTTTTGTTCTTTGGGTAAATACCTTCATAAATTTGTTTAAAATTTAAATTGCACATAATATTTGTAACAATATTATAATTGAGAAATGATAACTATAAAGTTACACCATGTGCTTTTAAGTGCCTTTTTTTCACTGTATTAAAATGTATTTTTACAGAATTAAATGCTAAGGATCCTGAGTTGGATAAGCAAATAAATATAGGATTTTATCGACCAATTTCTCCACGTAGAAAACAAATAAAAGAAAGGCTAGCTATACGAAAACAATTAAAAGAAGATGTGGTATTAGCTGAACAAGCAAGGACAAGAACTCGTGAGTCTTAAGTTCATTGAAATGTTTTTTAGTGTCTTTATTCATCAGAATTTACAGAAGATGCTTTTGACACATAAATTGGAATGTATTTCTAAAAACATGTTCATTATAGAAAAAAAACAATTATGATTATTTGAGTACATACTGCTTTGTGATGTCAAAGCGATCTATAGGTTGTTCGTATGACATTACAATAAGACTTAATTTTTAACAAATATTTCTTTGTTGGTCCTACACAGGTTTCCAGTAAGAAGAATATAACAGCATCTCAATCACACACTTTGTGTGGCACATGACTCTCTCAGAGAGGAATTTTGGACAATACTAGAGGCAGGGTGGAAAAAAAATCAAGAAATTGGATTTTTCTGTTTAAATCATTTTTTCTGTACTTTGGTTTAAACACAAGATCTTCATATTAAAAATATCTATTTTTTCTTTAAACCATTTTATTATGTAAGTACAGTGACTGTTACATATCTAATGATTCATTTTATCATCTTTTTCACCAGTGTTCAATGCTTTTAAAAGAATTACAAGTTTAGCTGCCTTCTCTTTTCCCAGTCTGTTCTGCACTTCTGACTGAACTAATCCAAATGCACCAAAAACTGTTCCAGTCCTGCTGTTAATGTAAATGCAGGTAAGAGCTGGGAAGCAACATCAAGTACTGCTGGACTGATTTCATTTTTTAATGATTTCCACCAGTCAATTGCTGAAACATCCTTAAAGGCAGTTTTCGATATTGTACATTACCTCTCTCACATAAATAGCTATTCTCGTTCAGAGCTATATACAAAAACAAGAGTGTGGTGCACACTTTTGATGCATGTGACTCCCTCTATTTGATTCTACTGAACTATCACTTCTTGTTTGGCAGTACTCACATTAAGACATTTTTATTGTGTTCTTCGAATTTGTTTGACTTCGTGATTTTTTGTTGTTATTATTCAGAAGTGGATTTTTTTTGTTTGTCAACAGTAACCGACTTTTCAGATAACTTATTTTCCCATTTTTAATTTTTTTTATCAAACAATTGTGTTTGATTTTCATTTTTACACAATGAATTCCAAAATTCAAGTTTGGAGGTCATACCTTCTACTAGCACACTCACCCATGCAGGTGAGGGTGACACGTCTTTGGATTTATTGGCTATCATCTGCTGTGAGATTGATCGTTATACAAATTAACCTATTTCTCCTGATCTTGCCTCTATTCCTCCTGAACGAGGATTTTAACAGCCTTTTTCCTCCACCTGATTTTTGCTATGTCTTCCTATGCCCCTGCTGCAGAATCAGCTAGGTCTAATATGGCTTTTTTAGACATGATTAGGCACGTTTGATTCTTTGGCTCTTGCCTTACATATTTAGTTTCTCTGTTGTTGGGATCTCCTGGGGAGGGGTGCAGCCTTAGCTCAGGTTCGTTTCCCACCTACTTATCTCCAGGACTTATGTATGGCCCATTTTCTTCAGTGATATTTTTTTAGTAATATTCCTGAGACTTTGGAATCCTATGTGAAGTCGGTGAAACAGCAAACTACCCTTTCTTCTTTAGTGGATTCTTTGTTGCATACTTAGCCTAGACATGCCCCTATTACTGTTTCCCTTTCAGCTCCTTCTCAGCCTTTACCTGTTCCTCCCTCCAGGGGTTCCTCATTTTGTTGTTTTATATGATGCAGATGGACACCTTGGCAACAGTACTGGTGAATACCTGGTGGGTTCAGGTCCAGTGGAGGTTTGCTTGTCTGATTTTGTTCCTCTTTGGCAACTTTTTGCCACAGCTCTGTGGGTTATTCAGGTATTATCTGAAGGACTTGTCATCCAATTTCTTTCCCCTCTTCCATTATATCAGATACCCATTTCCTTTCCATTGCCTTGTGATCTTACCACCAGTCAGCATCTGTTCAAGGCAGTACAAATCTTCTCTCCCAGCAGGCCATCGAACCTGTTAATCATCGTTCTTCACATTTATTTCAGGTTGTTTGTAGTACCCAAGAAAACCAGGGACTGATTGCCTGTGATTGATTTGTCCTGCCTCAATCAATTTTTGGTTCTAAATCGATATACCATGGAGTCTTTTGTCACCCTCAGGTGCAGATAACAACTAAAGACACCATCAAGAAGTTATGGGATCATCAGATCAACCAGTAATTAAAACATACCTTCCCCTGAAGATAATATAGAAGAATTAAAAGTTTTAGTTAGACAGCTAGTCATACAGAATGGAGGAAGTATATCACATGACAGTAGGTATTTCAAGTGTAACTTGAAAGAATAAAATCCTGTATGGGATAAAAACTTCTTCCAAAATATGTCAGAAAAAGGGAACTGTTTTAAGTGTGAGTAACATTGTCATTACAGTTGAGACTGTGAGGGATCAACAACAAATAAGAGGAACCAGGCATCAGAAAAACAAAAATTAGCTGGATTTAAGGGGCAAATTTCACCTAAGAATATTCCATCTGCCCCAAATGAGATAAGTTCATTATTTAAAGAAACTAATCCATGACTCCATGGGTTTATTGATGGGAAGTCTTGTAGTATGTTGATCAATACTGTTTCTACAGCTACATAGTTTGACCTGATTTGGTAAAAAAAGGTAGGAAATTTTCTCCACAGATGAAGAAAGAAGATGGATTGATGTGAACAGTAAGTGGACATAAAGTTTCAGCAAGAGAACAATTAGAATTTACCCTTACTGTAGGAAACTTCTCTGTGCCTCTTGATGTGTGGGTAATTGACATCAAGGAAGAGTGAATATTGGAAACTGACTTCTTGCAGAGACATGGATGCAAGGGTAGGCTAGCTTAAAATAGATTCACAGTTAACTACACCAGAGGTTGAACTTCTAGTAACAACAAGGAAGGCATTCATTGTATCACCAAGAAGTGAAACACTCATACCAGGATCTATTAGGAATAAACTTGCATCTAGTGACTAGATTATAGTAGAACCAAACACTACAATGTGTCCTAATGAATTAATGGTTGGAAAAATTATTTTGGGTCTGAAAAATGAAAATGTCATCTTTAGAGCAATGAATGCAACAAACCATACAATTGAAGTCTGGATAAGACACTGGAAAATGTGAAACTATACATGTAGTAATTCCACATCAAAGAATATCAGAAGTAGTCATCTTTGAGGCAAAATGTAAGAGTCTGATGTCCATGTCACCACATATGATCATGTTTATCTGATGACCATGTATCATGATAGTAATCCTGCAGTCTAGTTTCCAGTAGGTTCTGCCATAAATCTATCATAAACAAAGCACATTATTGTTCCCACTGTGCTTTCCTTAACAGATTTAATGGAGAAGGATGGTGTTTCCCAGGATCTATTTCAACAGTTCAGCGCTTGAAAGATATGTCTCTTTGTGGAATAGCATTAATATCTATTTCTTGGTGAAGACATACTCTGTTGGCCTTGTTTCCTTTTTCACTATATTGCTTACTGTTGCCTGAGGTATGTGGATAGCTTTTGGCACTGACCTTTATGCTTGTGAATTCTTACCTGTTATAAGACACCACACTGTGCTTTCTACAGCTGTGGTACAACTTGATGCAGGTAAATGTCTGGATGGTCCTGGTGCCCCAAGTTGATCCATATTATTTTGTTTTCTATAGTGATTAAGAATGAGGGATGTCCCTATATTGGAAGTACTAAATTCCTAATCTGAATATATGAATATTTTGTGTCAGAAAGTGCTGTTATATTCCCTGCCCAAAGCTGATTAGTTTTTGTTGTCATCACACTATCTACAAAACACTAAACAATGTTCAAATGTAGTTCTGACATTTGATGTTCCACCATGTCTTTATATTGGCTATGATATACATGTGATTTGCTAATTTGTATATTCAAAATCATTGTAATATAATCTATTCAGTCTTCTGTGATTATAAAAATAACTTGTAACTGAAAGCACTAAAATGTAAAGTTTGCCCTAACAATTAATTGAGCTATTTTGCTACTGATGCTATAACCTGAAAGGTATTTACTTGGAAAAATGTCAATATTACTTGTGTATATACAGTATCTGGTATGAATCTATAAGTATTACCCATCTGATTTGTTTTATTTAGTTAGAATTTCATTAGAAGAAGTTAAAGAGGAATGGAAAAATACAGTAGGGCCTCACCATGTTAGAGAGGTAGCAGAACATTATGGGATTTTTCAGGATTTATTTGATCATGCCTACTTTACACCTTACGTAATGCTGGACGTGTTTTTTGATTATGATGACAAATATGTCACTCCAGTACATAGAGGAAACATCATCTATCCATCAGAGGTAAAAACTTGTAAAATGTTGCCAACAAAGTTTTAGTTTTACTACTTGGAGGTTTTGGCTTATTTTAAAACTGTTTCAAATTGTTTTACTAGAACATTTAACTCTAATAAAAAAGAAAAGCTACAGCAAATATGTTTTAGGTGAGCCATATGCTCATGTTGTTCAAGAATAATATTTTATTAGAAATTTACTAATGCACAAATAGGGTTCAAACTTCAAAAATTATTTTATTTCTGATTTGTTTTGTTTTTTAAATTTAAACTACAGGCAGTGAAAGAACCCACAGTAGCATATAATGCTGAGAAAGATTCTTTGTGGACATTAGTATTAACCAATCCAGATGGTCATCTTCTAGATGGTCAATCAGAGTATCTTCATTGGTTTGTGTAAGTACATATTATGTAGCTATTGCTGTTTGATGAATATGTCACATATTGTAATGAAAAGCATGTTTCCTCATCAAATTAAAATTAATAATTTCATACATCTTGGTATAATAAGTTGTAACATTGTAATTCTTATTCTTTCAAAAAGTTACAAGTTCTGTTTTAAGATTTAAAGAAAAATATAAAGGATAAAATTTTGAATTTAGTATTTTAAATATGTGTCAGTGTATATCTAACTTTGAATTTCTGTGAAAACCAGACAGCAATTTTGGAAAGTGGGAAGAAATGTCAGAGATATGTACATTGCTCTCTACATAAGATAGTTGCTACTATTTTGCCACATAATTCACCACACCAAAAGGTGAAGAAAGCACAGAAAATTAATTTAGCAGGATAGTTGAATACCTTCAAAGTGTCTTTAGGACTAAATGAGTTGCTTGAATATAAAAACTACAACTGGTTGTTGCCAGCTTATTATAAAAAAGTTTTGTATGTTTTGTTACATAAATATTTAAGATTTATTTGTACTGTTTCAATTAGGATGATGCAGAAGATTTAAATTTAATGTACTGTTATTGTTAAAATGAATAAATGGACAGGTACCTTGATTTTTTTGAATGAAGTTAGTCACTACTATTATTTTTTATTTTTCTTCAGAGGAAACATAAAAGGAAATGATTTAACTACTGGAAATGTAGTGTTTCATTACCTACAGCCTTTCCCTCCACGTGGAACTGGATACCATCGCTATGTATTTATTTTGTATAAACAGGAGGGAAAAATTGATTATTCATTAAAGAAACAACCTTTTCCATGGTAAATTGTGATTTTCATAACTAAAAAGTAATTCTAGTTATGCAGTTTATACTCTTGTTTATTAGTTTTAACAAGTATAAAGTGTTTCATCTGGTGAAGTGAAAAACTCATTAGATTTGTTGAATATTAGGAAAGATTATGCTCAGTTATTGCTGCTTTTTTATTACATCTCTCTTCATCTTGTATCAATTTCAAATCAGAGATATACCATACCCTTCCCCCTACTCTAGCCTGTTGCATTCCTGAATGTCCATATAGCATTCGTCTACGCGTGCGTGCCAGATGTTCACTCAAAGTCATCGATAATTCTTACAACTAATCCACCTACAGACTATTCAGTTATAGTGTTGATTTTGTGGACCTAAAAAAGGATGTTAAGATGCTTAATTTTTTCTTTCCCATGGTTTCTGATAATCGAGATCACTGTACATTTGGGCCAATATGGTAATAGTTTGGGTGTAATGTTTATCTGCCAGTAAGTAGTCCAATTTAATGTGATGTTTATCACATTTATTAGGCCTAATCATTGTCCTCTTTTGTGGTATTAAACATTTAAAACTGTTGAAGCAATAGAAACTAATAGTCCAAATTTTCAAATCTCTCTTTTGTCTACCACTAGTCACTATCAACTGTACTACACTTTGGGCAGTGACTTATGGTGGAAAAAAGAGAGATCTTAAGTGCTATTTTTTACATTCTCTATTTCAAATCTTTCTGATTGACTACTTAAGAGCAAAGAAGTAAAAATAATTAGTCAAGCATTTTATTTAGCATGATTGTTAGGCCTATTAGTGTCCTACAGTAGTTTTGTACACTAAAACCAATAGCAGTAATAGAATTATAATGCACAGAAAAAAATATCATGATATATATATATGACAGTTTCATCACCAGGAAATACCCAGATTTTCTATGGTTAAAACATTAACATTACATTACATACACTTGTAATTTTTTTAAGTTAAAGTTATATTTTGGTTTGAGTTGTTGGTTACATACAGTATGTGACTATTGTAATTTTTATCCTCAGTTGTAATGTTTTGAAGTACTAAGGAATTTAGATTTGGTCATTTGAGCTGAAAATTGTGCACATTTAATTTTGTTCTTTAATTTAAAACTTTCAAAACTATGTATGTTAAGTGAACAAGATATAAGGAATTTTTATGTTTGTGTATAACTGTGATTTTAAAATAAGTTCTTGGTATTAATGTTTATTTCTTGTATTCATTGTAGCCATAGCCTTAAGGCTAGGACATTTAAAACCTTCGATTTCTACAAAGCTCATCAAGATCAGTTAACTCCGGCTGGAATGGCATTCTTTCAGTCAACTTGGGATCAAAGCTTGACAGATTTCTTTCACAATATGCTTCGTAAGTAAAGTATCAATTATTTCACAAGAAAAACCTTTTTTACATCAGCTTATGTATTTATTTAAAATTATACACACATATTTCTGACAGATATTTTTAGTTACTTTCAACTTTCACTGTACAGTGAGTATGGGTAACAATACAGTTACACATTGTAAAAACATTTTTCATTCACTTTTAATGTTCAAATGAAAATTAAACAATACTTAAAAGTTCACCATATGTGAAAAGAAATATCAAGCTTTACAATTTTTTGCTAATGACATTTGCATTTTATATGAAAATGCACTTATTAGTTTTATGATTTCTAACATTTATTTCATATTGAGCCCAGTATGGGTGCCAAGTAAAGACCATGTGGGTTAATTGTGAATTTAGTGCTAAAATATCTCTCATAATTAATCCTTCATGCATAGGTCAATTGGACAAAGCCCATATTAGAGAATTAGTGTTTACTGTAAATTTTAAAATTCTGAAACAATTTCTTACCTCTGAACACAGAATAGCTATATCTCTCGTGTGTCTGCCTATGAAACTTGCATGCCACTAGCCTTGAGCTAAGTCCCATCTAAAATTCATATGTTAAATGTAAGCTGCTCTGGTACATCAAGACATCATCATGCAACAATAGCCTTCCACAAATATGAGGATGACACAGCCTCCATGCTCAGCAACCCCACTTAAACACTTATTCTTCTCCTTGGCATTAACTTGAACAGAGTTAATTTTTCAAGTCTGTGTTCAATTTACTGGACATTTTCTTTTGCTCTTGTCTTGTTTGTATTAAGCCTTCACCTCTTTGTCTGCGAGCTGTGGAATGTATGGTCACTGTGGTTTGCACTTTTCATTTTCATTTTGCATGTGAAGTTTTTGAGGACTCTGGCTTTCCAGGAATCATTCATTCCTTTATGGTCTACACACATATGCCTCCTCTAATGAACTTGACAAGACCAATGGAATCTTTCTTCAGATCTATTGGCCTTGATTGTGAATCTCTATTCTCCTCATCTTGAGGACTTGTCTTGGTGGCTAGATTGTGTAAATACCATGATTGGCATTGCCTTACCCCCCCCCCCCAACCAACTCTCCATCTCTCTCACCAGACTGCTTTCCGCCCACAGTGTGGTCTCTCCACCCCTATGTTTTTCATTGGTTTTGCTCTCGATTGAACACGTATGTCATGGATGCCTTTGCCTCTCCTCTCAACTCCAGGTTCCTCTCTTCTGATTCCCAGTTCATCTTTTGGCTCTGGCTATTGATGCTCTCAGCTAGGACTGAATGCCTATCCTCCTCTTTGACTCCTTCCTCAGGCCTTGATATGCAGCACTCCTTGTCAGGTTAATTATTGTTGATGCCTCTTTGGGCAGCTTATTTGTGGTTTCCTCTACTTTAACTAGCATCCAGACCCTCCCTTCCTCTATCCAGTGTCCCCTCTCTATTGCTTCTACCTCACACATCCCTTTTTCATCCAGGGATATTACTCTTTATGGGGAATTTGTCTAGTCCATCACCCTTAGGGGAAGACTCCAATTATGTAACCTACTTCTAATCCTATTCCTGTTGTCCTTCAACTTTGTCTTTCTGTTGACAAAAGTGCACACTGTTGAGTTGGGGTGTTCTGCATGACCAATTGAGGTATCCTTATGGTATAAATAATTATTCAATTGCCTAATCACAAACATACCATTCCAGGGACTATCATGGAAGAAGTTGGCACCAGGGAAGAAACTGCCCACTTCTTTGGCTCACTCATGCCAGCTTTTAAAATAGGGTTTCCCAGTCACCTATTGCACTGTGTCCAGTAAAAAATCTTTCTGGCAGGTGTTGAATATGGGATCTGGGCAGTTTTCTGGGTTTCCCCAACACGAATATTCCCCTCCTCCTTCAAGTGGAGCATAGGAGACCCTTACCACTTACCAGTTCCTAACCACTAGGGTGGTAGACCTTGGATAGTTCCTCAATGATTGGGCTCAACACAATACAGTGAGAAGTAGAATGGTGGTGACACTGTCAGTGTAGTGCAGGTCATCCAGCTGGTGTGCCCTTGTCTTGCAGCCTTAGTTTTTCCAGTTGAGGTGAGCACACCCTGCACAGTCAGATCGAGCTTTAATCAGACTACACTTATTGACTTGCCAATCACTTGTATGAAAATGCTCAGATGGTCATGTTTTCATTCCACCCATCCCTGTGACACTTGGGGCTTTACATTCTGGGTAAAGAGTATACTCTGGTCAAGACTAAATGTAGTCTCCCACGGGTGTGTCCTTATGGAACCCTTATCCTCGGATGTCACACTACATGGGCTTTCCTTTAGGGCACTTTCTGAAGGGAGGTCATCTAGGTTCAGCCTTTCACTGGTTCTTCCAGTGATTCAACATTAGATTCTAGCTATTGTGTGTGTAAGAGTGAAGTACCACCTCAGAAGTTAACATTTTCCTAATCTGAAAATGTATTTCCAATAGATACCATTACACATTCCCACCCAACCTTCCCCATTTCTGGTGCACTTTCTTCTTGCCTTATCTAAGAATGAAATTATTTCGAGTGCAAGTGCTGAAAGGGAGTTATAGTGCATCGGGTTGTGTTACCCTTCTATTGGTGGAGAGCTATTGTTGCATGATGATGATATCATGCACCAGTGCAGTTCATGAATTTTAGGTGGGAGTTAACTAGTAACATGCAAGTTTCATAGACAGATGAGTGAGAGAAATAACTATCCTGTGTGTAGAGGTGGGTATCTATCAAAAATACAGTTTCTGATTAGGAAAACATTAACTTTCAAATGTACTAAACATAACTTCATGAAATTTGGTAACCTTTTAGTAAACATTACAAGTATTTCTACTAAAGGTTTGTCTCTGAATTTACTTTAGTCAGTTTGACTCAGACTAGGACAAATCCAAGTGCAAGGTGACTTTCATGTTAAGAATAAAAATATCTTTTCCACCTTACAGTTTTTATATTTCATTTATGTAACCTCCGGAACCTTCTAAATGAATATCACCTTTTTTTCAATAAAACTATATTTTATCTGTTATTTTTTCTACCCTAACAGTATAGGGGCTAGATCAATTTTACCGAACTTGTAACCACCACAAAATATTATACAAATTAAATCTAAGTTAACCTTTTTTCTTTCTAGAATGACTGCTGATTGTAACAAAAAATTAGAACTATTTATTCTAAACAAACTCAGACTCATAACAGTTTACATTTATTTTATTGCTCTTTGGATCATGTCTACCTACTAAATATGCATAGAATGAGAAATCACCCAGTGAGCAAATAGCTCAAGTTAAAGTAAACAAAATGTTGAATTATGTTACATACATGCAGCTCACATGCATAATTTGGTAAGAAATTGTTTTATTTAATTTGTGTTTTCTTAACTAACTTCATAACTTTCTACTTTTCTATTAACTTTTATAATGGTAAATATAAAATATGTATAAAGAACAATATATTTACTAGTTACATGTAGGTAGGTCTTGTATGTTTTTGCACTTGATGTCTTCATAAAGATTAAACCTTATTTTTGGTACAGTTGTTCTTAGTATTTTATGGAATTTTTATTTATTCAGTTTAGAACACAAAATAATAACATGCAAGAGGAATACAATGTCTTCTAACTGTTGTTATACATCTGGTTTTCTAATTAAATATTAAGGTATTAAAATAATGTGTAGGCCAAATAATTCAAAATCTGTCATCAAGACAAGCTAGCATTATATTTAATTCAGTAAAGTAAAATATTCTATTTCTTTTGGTTATAAATAATGTCAGAGAGAATTAATGACAAACTTAGAAAGGTGTGGCATGTGGGTTTGTCTTTATCGTTTATATTTCTCCTACTAAAGATGATTGGAGGCTGTAAAATGAATTATGTCTCAGCAATATCTGTACTATAAGTTTGTAAATTATATTAAAACTCAGAAGCTCAAATGGTGTGGAAAGAATGTTTAAATGGGCAATTTGGAACAAACAAGTGTCACGTGATACATGAAATTTAAAATTGAGAATTTAGTTAAATATTTCCTTTTGAAATCAAGAAATTAAAACTTGCATTAAAATTTGATTTTTTAACTACATTTTGATGCCAAGTTTATTGACATGAATTGATGAGAAAGTTTTTAACTAAAGTTTGAATGTAATTTTGTAAAACATTGACCCCTCAACCATACACATAGGATTAAATTTTGCCTTATCATATTACTTAAAAGACACTACACGTCACCAGATACTCACTATAGTTGCTTATTAAATGTGTAGATAGTAACAAGACTATGTTTAGACTCTTTTATTTTTAGCTGTTAATACAGGAATACAAAATATTTGTAGAATGGTTAACTTAATTTCATTAGTGATTAAAAACACAGTACACAAAATAGGCATCAAGATTTCATCCACTGTTCTATGCAGCATGGCAAGCATCCTTTAACCACAGATGCATGTTTAGGCTGTGTTGGTGTGTCATCCAGTTACACATTGTCTTGTTCCCTATATATAATTGGGACCTTCAGTCTGTTTTGATGAAGGTTTTTCATAATAATAGATTTGCATTAATTTTTGACTTATTTTTCACAGGCATTTATAGTGTGCGAATGCACTTACGTGTCTATAGCAGAAAAAGTGCCAAAATTTTGGAGCTATTTACACCTATGTTAGCAATCAAATTCAACTAAAACCGGAACAGGTAATCAAAAGTGGAAGTGTTATAGGAGAAAAAGTGGAATTAGACTCGTGTAACTTATGAAATTTAGAGAAATTGAGCATGACTGACTGACACTTGGCTTTTATGATTATGATTGTGATGACTTTTATAATTTTTTATGATAATGTGATTAACGACAGTAAAAAGATTATAATTTAAAAGAAAGAACTTAAATATATTGAAAAATTTTATTTTAGCTTAAACAATGGGCTAACTATTGTTATACACTGGTGCATCAATTATCTACTGTTTCTGTTAGCTGTAATTTTTTGCTTTCCCTGACCAGTGTGGATAATTGAGACACCAATGTATATTTATTTACTTTCACAGCAACAATGCATGCTAGTGATCACATGATATCAACAACCACTTGATAACACTGCCTGAACTAACTGCTTTTAGTCCTGCCTGAGTTTAAACCTGCGCACTGATTGGTTGAATTGAGAAAAAAGAAGAAAAACAAAATGGTGTGAATTTAGTAACGTGGTGTGCAACCACAGCACTTCATTCCTGAAAAAACATGAATTGCTGAATATGCAATTAATATCCTAGAAACAAAGTTTGATTTAGAATTCAAAGAATACAAAAGTAGTTCCTGACTCCCAAGAGTCCAGAATTTTTCTAGATTCAAGTTCTATTTAGCACTTCTTTATGCACGAATAAAATGGGAGAAAATACTAGGTGCCACGATGAAATTTTTAGTTGCTATGGTGATCTGGAGCCCAGGATTTGTTGAGGCCTGTATTAAATGATCTTTACACACACAATCAAAGTTTTCACACTGTTTATGAGAGTCAGGCACGATCTGAGACAAGGTGCAGCTGAACTTGCTTCATATTTTTAGTTGTGGGTGTATTATAAAAGTGACAAACAATTCCAATACTTGATTCAAAGAATTAGGGACAGCTATGTTTGAGCCCAGAAGGTTTTCTGACCTGGTCATTTGGCCCATGCACACACATGAAGTACCTCTTACATTGAAAATTCAAGTTACTTCTACTTATGAATGTCAATAAATCAGTACATTTACATTGAACATTCCAATTATTGCTGCTTATGAATGTCAATAAATAAGTACACATTTTCTTTGTACAAAGTAATTTAAAAGAAAAAAAATTTCTTATTTATGTGCATTTATGTATTAAGGTTCTAGTGTACAGCTATGAACTACTAGTTTGCAAGTGCTCATAGATGGATACTTTTGTAATGGTTAACTTTTTTGTTTATTTGTTATGCATTATTTGAATGCAAGTCTAGTATTTCTTACCTAATGATTTCTTTATCGAAGTGTGTGATTATTCATTGTATATGAAGGACTGGATGTGATGTTTAATGCATTAATAAATGTAGTTTAAATGAAGCCAATGTACGAAGTTTCAGTTAGATTTTAATCTTATTTCAGTATAATTATGAAAACAATTTAGTATGTATAGAAATAAACTAAATCAGATTATGTTAATAAATTCCAAATATGTATAATGTGCAAATAGAGAAAAATATTTTCAGATATTACAAGGTTAGAAAAACCTTTAGAATGCCCTAAGTTTGATGGAACAAATTCACTAATGTATAATCTTGATAGATGAGAACAAGTTTCATTTTCTCTAGTAAAGAAAATGCAAGTACTGAAAATCTGTTTTACCTTTCAACATGGGGATTTTTAGGTAGTCGTTTAACCCTATGTATACACATAGATTGAAAGTGCATATTCGTGACCTTTTGGGAATTAGAAATTTATGTAGTTCATATCATATTTTTTACATAGGAATAAAAAGTCCTGATAACCTTATATGATACTTTTTCCTTTGTTTGGTTCTTAAGGAAAACTTGTATTTAAGGTAGTCGTTTAACCCTATGTATACACATACGTTGAAAGTGCATATTCACGACCTTTTTACAGAGCTACATTCAAAATTTAGCTTCTTTATTATCAATGCATTTCAATAAACTTGACCTCAAAACAGTTTATAATTCAAATTTTAATGTCATAAATGTTTCAATTCTTAATTTCAAAAGAAAATATTTAAATAAATCTCAGTCTTCATTTATATATATTGGGTGATACTTCTTTGCTATGAATTGCCCATTTTAGAATTTCATTTTACTTCTATGTTATTTCCTAAGTTCCTGAAGACTTACATCATTATGTGTTAGTTATCCCCAAGCTAAAATGAAAATCTATAGCTACTGTTCTTTCTTTAATGAGTTATGTGCAATAAATTGTAACTCACATGCCACTAGCATACGCTGTCTTTAAAAAACGTCAGTAATTCCCTCTGACATGTGCTGTTGGATTAATCAGTAGAAAGAGGTTTTAATTTACCCCTTTTCTTCAGAGGTTAGCTTGTTCTCACAATATGTTTTGAGTTATTCTGAGTCAATTTCATGAGTTTGCAATTGATGAAATTGCCTTGAGCAGGTAAAGAAATTATATCAATACACATATAACTTAGTTAGAAACCCAGTTAAATTATAGTAGTTTTAAGATTTGTTATGTTGCATGTTAATATTTTGTGTTCTAAGTTGCATATTTAAACATAAATAATAATTAAATACTAACAACATTCCTACTAAAAACATTGGGTTAACTTTTGTACAAGACCCACATTTAAGTACTAATTTTTTATTTTTTTTTCAAAAATGGGGCCAAAGGCTGCCTGGAAGGGTCACCTGTTTTAACCACAATATACAGTAATGTGTTGTCTGTCAGTCAGTGAGTAGACACTGAAATGATGTCACATAAAGGATGGTTAATGTTGTAATTTGTGCTGTCATGAAATCAGTAAGATGTGTATTCCATGAATCAGGAAAAGAATTATGCACAGCATGACATATGAACTTGAAAAGCAAGAAATAAAAATATTTGTTATTCTTAATTTTGGTTTTATTTACTCTTTAAAGAGAACACTTTTGGGGAACCTATGCAAATATGTATTTTTTATTTGTTGTTACAAAAGTACCTAAATTTAAAAATTGGAAAATTATTAGGTTAGATAAAAATTAAGTAAATGAAAATACTCAATAGCATGAGCATATCTTGCAAGAAGAGCATATTGTAATTTGTTTGAGCATGCTGATAGTTTGATGCTGTGTTTATGTAACACTTTCCTGTTGTAATGATTCACATTAGTGGTGCTAATCTAAGTAGCAGTAAATCAGAATGACTGGGAGATATGAACTGTATTAGCTTTGGTTATAAGAATAAATAATGTGTAATGTCTGTAACAACATGCACAAATCCTAGAAAGAAAAAAAGAGAAACTTCTATGTATTTTGTATATTTTTGTGGTGGTTACAAGGTTAGTCAAATCATCAAGTCAGTATACAATGTTAAAGTAGAGAAAATAACAGATTAAATATAGTTTTGCTGAGAAAAACTTTTGATGTTCATTTAAGAAATTCTAGATCTAATAAAAATTAAATTTGTAAATTGAAAGATGAAAAAAGCATTTTTAGTCTTAAAATAAAAATCACCTTGCACTCAGACTAGTAAGAGCCTTAACCAGATTTTGACCATCAATTCACAGACAAACTTAATGCATTAGGTTTTGCTGCAAATTGATGTGTGCTCAGGTTAAATGATTAACTACCTGTAACGTATCTTTCCAGAAATGAGAGAGCCAGTCTATGAATATTGTCACGAAACACGTTACATCAAACCTCAGGTTAAGTACCCTCATAGGGAAGCTTTTAATCTGTGAGTATCTTTATCAGAATTTGATGGCTTAATTCTCAGAGCTGACCAAATAGTTATTACAATAATTTATAAAGATGTTTTTGTTAGAATTTTAGATAAAAATTTAGGTTAACCAAATTTTATACTTAAAAGTTTTTAAATTGTTTTTTTTTTTGTATATTTTGATCCTAAACTTTATTTTAAATTTTCCTTTTTTAAAGCAGAAGTGCAAGAGTAGGTACTTTTAATCTTTCTTAGTGTGTGTTTAACACACAGATGATTTGTAGTAGTTATTCCACATTATTATTAATTTAGTTCTTGTTGGTATTCTAGTATTATAAGTAATCAACAAATAAAAAAAGAAACATCAAGGTATTAAAACTGTGTGCATACATTTTATAAATAACTTCTAAAGTAATGCTTTGAGCCACTTGAACTGTTTATTTAGATACCTTGATTGTTACCGGGATCCTAAAGATATGCGAAAGGAAGTGCTGCTGAAGAGACTTAAAATGATTGATCCATTCAAAAATGAGCTACCTGCCTCTAAGTATCCTAATATTTACAAACTGGATAAAGATCTTCCTACTTGGAAAAAGAAAGAAATATGGAAAGAGCGAAATCGATTTGGAAAGTACAGAGACTTGCGGCCTTTCACCATATACCCAGAACCAGATCTAGAGAGAATAGAACGTGGAATGAAAGCTTGGTTTGAAGAAAGTGACTAAAGCTACAGTGACAAAATATGTTAAATTAATATGTAAATATATATGTGTGTGTGTGTGTATCACTGTATTATTTACAGAGTAAAACATGAAAAATTAAAGAGATTCCAAAACTTTTTCTCATTCTTGTGGACCTACCTTATCGAAGTTAGAACACTGTTAGGTTTTTCTAAGTTCCCAGTTAGTAAGGGTATAATGATACATTTGTGCTATACTGTGTGTAAACTATACACAAATATTTGTATGATCAGGTCTTTATGTGCAACCAGAACAATTTATGAATAAGCAACATGTTGAAGGTACGCAGAAGTAGTCAATACGACATGGAAAATTCACACAGTAAATAATTTGTTAAATATGTAATTATATATATATATACTTAATTTCATATTTAAATTAGCTCTTAATTTAACCCTTCTGTAACTAGTTTAGAAAATATATTTCATTAAATTTCATTTCAATATTTTCATGCAGGTATTCTGCTTGTAGCTCTGACATTCTCATAAGTCAGATGTCATAAACATACATTAATCCACTTGTTTAGGTAAATGTTACAATCTACAGTAGCTTTCCCATAGAAGCTGGTACAAATTTAACCCCGTGTCTACTCCATGGAGTGGAATAAGCTTGTTTCAAAGGGTAATACAGGTACCTATACAAATTAGTATGAATTTTGGATTCTTTCTCTTGTATATTCCATTTATAAGAATTGCACTAGTTTGTATGATTTGGGAACTCTCTTTCTTATATATTTATCAATTGGAATAGTTCTAATAGGTTATCTAAGGACAGTGGGATACAATACACCACTAGGGCCATGGTCTGCTTTGAAAGTGTAATATTTCTTTATTCTTTGCATTGTCCTTGTTCTGTGTGTATGTATTTCAAATCCTTTCGTTGTTCAGTAGCTAGCAGGAAGTCCTTGTATAAAAGAAGAAGCCAGCCAGTAGGTAAATGACATATATTATTCTGAGTAAAGATTTTGTCATTTATGTCATTTGTTTTCCATTTATATCTATACACCTGGAAAAAGTTAAGCACCCCCATGTTTTTTCAAGTGATTCAGATTCGACGTTCTTGTGACTGATTATAAATT